CAAGATAATAAGAGGACGTTAAAAACTACCTACCCACTTTGAAACTCAGTAACTATTCTATACACAGTTAAAACTTAAGACTTTAAAGTCAGATCTAGTATGTGTGCCTGGCTATCATTTATACAAGATAATAAGAGGACGTTAAAAACTACCTACCCACTTTGAAACTCAGTAACTATTCTATACACAGTTAAAACTTAAGACTTTAAAGTCAGATCTAGTATGTGTGCCTGGCTATCATTTATACAAGATAATAAGAGGACGTTAAAAACTACCTACCCACTTTGAAACTCGGTAACTATTCTATATACAGTTAAAACTTAAGACTTTAAACTCAGATCTAGTATGTTTGCCTGGCTATCATTTATACAATATAATAAGAGGACGTTAAAAAGTACCTACCCACTTTGGAACTCAGTAATTATTCTATATACAGTTAAAACTTAAGACTCTAAAGTCAGATCTAGTGTGTTTGCCTATCATTTATACAAGAGAATAAGAGAACGTTAAAAACTACCGACTTGCTTTGTGACTTAGTAACTATTGTATACATATTTACAATATTAAGACTTCAAAGTCTGGTCTTCTATGTTTGCCTAGCTATCATTAATACAAGAGAATAAGAGTACATTAATAACTACGTACTTACTTTGTGATTCTATACATATTTACAAGGCTGAGTCTTTATAGTGAGGTCTAGTATATTTGCCTGGCTATCATTTATACAAGAGAATAAGGAGACATTAAAAGCTACCGACTTACTTTGTAGCTATTCTATATATATTTACAATTTAGACTTATCCTTAACCTATGTATGCTTACATACCATTTAAATTAATAATTAATAAATTACATAAGTCAAGTCGAGCTAATAACAATTATAATTAAATAGTACTAAACTAATCACAACAATCAACATAAACCTATAGAACACAAAAGGAAAACTCTAGGGACGGAATGGGCAGCAACAATGGAACTGCAAAGACTCTACTACTCTCAAAGTCGAACAAAAAATAAAATGAAAAAGTTGTGTCGCTTCGAGTGAAAACATTTATCATTGAGTTTTACGACAATCTTGAGATAACAAAATCAAGTACTATAATCAACGAAATGGCAAACTTGATAACAATAAAATAAACAACAAATATAAAAATAATTAAATAGAAATTAAGAACTGCGCAATCTAGTTGATCTATAACTTAAACCTTTGGTGACTTTACTTTGGATCAAGTTTTCCGTTTCTGCTGCCTTTGGTCTCGAATCAACATTGTGTATTCTTCTATTAAAATTGATGCACCATTGTCTACCGTGCATTTTTATAACGTAATGGAAAAAAGCAGTTAAAAAATTTTTCTTGTGTCGCGAGCAGGTAAACCAAGCTGTATTAGTATTTTTCTGCAAAATTGAGAGTAATTCTGGGTAAACGTAAACATAGCAAATTTGTGGCAAAAATTTATCGATTAAGTAAATACTCTCCCATGCTAATGAACTAATGTTTTTTGAAGGATAATAGAGTGTTTGTTTTTCTAAATTATATTCTCGATTAGCAATTAACGTGTGAAACGGTTGAACATCTGTAGACAACAATGCATCTTTACAAAGGTCGCAGTCAACACACTGCAATTTAGGCAACAGGCAGCGACAAATTGCACCAGCGATGTATGACACACTATTGGTTTGCATAACATTTTCTTATGGGATAGAGTCTATTAATTCACAATTAATCACAATTACCTCGGAATCGATATTGTTAGAGACTGTCTGTCTGTTACGTTGTACCAAATTTGTCAAAGTTCCTAACATTGCATCATCATCAGTGGCGCAGTTTGTGTATAATGATTTTCCAGATGAGATGTTATTGATCAACAACGTTTTGTAGGCTGAGACAAAGTGGGTGCAATCCGGATTGGTATTGAAACCACCATGAGCTCTAATCTGCCCAAAAAAATTTTCAAGTGGATCTTGATTTAAACGTCTCAGATTTAAGAATTTCACTCCCTCTAATCTAGACAAATCAGTCCATAAATGCTTAATGCTTTTAATGTCGTGTACAAAATGTTTAAGGCTAATAGGGTTACTTTCCCTAGGATCTGAGGCATCAAATCTCATTGAATTTATTTTCTTCACAGCATTATTCCAGAAAGAAAAGTGTTCGGAATTTAATGTCAAAGCTTGTTGCAATTTACCTCGAGTATGGCCAAAACAATTCAGACTATCGAACAAATCATTCATAAATAGCAAAAGTTCTGCTGTGAACAAACCGTTTTCAATGTCCACTCCAGGTACAGCATATCCGTGTTCTTCTTGTACAAAAAGTAGTGACTTCATGTATAGATCCAGAGACGTGGCCACCTGTCTGCTGAAAACCTGAGCTGCTAGTTTGACCTGAAAAGTGAAATTCAGATTGTTTTTTATTAAGGTCATAAAATAAAAACATAATTAATACTTATATACTTCCTATTCTAGAAAAAATTAAAATATTTACATATAATTTTTCTAAAATAGGAACATAACTATTTTTCTTCATTATCTTTATTCATTTTAATTTCATTGACAGGTAAGGACAATCTTTTAATTGTGCATTTCAATAAATTTTTCTTCTTAATTAAAGTCTTTTGGATTCAATCTCATGCTGAAAACTAAATCTTCACTAAGGATTTGTTTTTATAACAACATATCTGCAGCACATAAAATACGTAAAATTCAAGATAATACCATTTCAAAACGTAAAACCCGACACATCAATGAAACCGTCGCAGTGTATTTTGACCTGAAAAATGGACTTGCTTTTTTTATTCGCCTATTCGATAGAGAAAGTTATGCAGAAACCAAGAAAAGGACT